ACTTTTCCCTTTTCAGTATCATTGTAAAAGCCAGTAGGAAGATCCATATACACTTCTTCTTGCAGATCCCCATTTAGGAAAGCATTCTTCACATCAAGTTGAAACAAGGGCCAAGAGTATGAGGCAGCAAGAGAAAGAAGTATCCGAACAGAGGTTATCTTTGCAACTGGTGCAAAGGTCAAGTAATCAATGCCATAGGTCTGTGTGTACTCTTTTGCAACAAGTCTTGCCTTATACCTTTCTATACTTCCATCTGCCTTATATTTTACGGTGTAAACCCATCTGCATCCAACTGTCTCCTTGCCTTCTGGTAGATCTACAATGTCCTATGTCTAATTCTTAATCAAAGCTGCCATCTCTTCCTACATAGTTGTCTTCCACTCAAGTTTGGAGAAATCCTCACTAACACCCTTGGGTATAGACACTAAATCAAGAGAGGAAAGAAAAGCACGGTAGGAAGGAGAAAATCCAATGTAGGATAAGTACTGTGAAATACAATGAGCAGTACACTTTCTCTTCCCTTTTCTGAGAGAAATAGGGAGATCAAGGTTATCTGTAACAGTGTTAGTAGAATCAAATGGGAACTGAAACAGTAGCGGGACCAAGAGGAATACCTGAATCCATGTCAGTCGAATCTGGAGTCTTCAAGGAATCGACAGGAAGTGGTGAGTTTTGCTGTAGTGGAATCAACCTCCTTGTGAAGTCTCTGTTGTAAGTAATGCTGAGAAGCAGAACGCAAAGGAGGTGGCAAGGTAGGTGATACAGGGTGGTGGTCAAGCACAGGAGTAGACACAGGGACTGGAACTAGGAGAGGAATAGACTGCTGACTCACCTCCCCAAAACACTCCCCCTAAGAATGATTCTTTGAGAAGAAGTACGTGGATTCAAAAAAGGTGAYATCCATGGTAACATACYGGCTCCCAGAGACTGGATCATAGCAGCAGTACCCTTTCTGATTCTCTGCATATCCAAGGAAGACACACTCCAAACTTGACAAACTAACAAACTCAAAAAGTTTTGGAAACAAAAAACTCAAAGAAGAAAAAGGTAAATGGCCCAAACGATTATGCCAAAGCATAATTTGACCCACAGACCCTGACTCACTATCCCTGTTGACATGATGACTCTGATGAGAAGGAAGTACATCCAGGAGGTAGATTCCATTCACTTCACGACCATCCCAATCGTCCTCTTTGAATCCAGATCCTGCAAAATACAATGACCGGGAGAAAAAATTACTGAGCAGTTCAAGTTCTTAGTCAAACTACTAACAAATAACAAATTAGTGCTCAATCTGAGAACATGACGGACAGAGAGTAGAGAAATAGAATCACTAATCTTAACAGATCCCTTCCCAGCAATAGGAACATGGAATCCATCAGCTGTGGAGACCCTATCTCTGCCAGAACAGAGCTGGTAAGTTGAAAAAATAGTAGAGCTCTGGGTCATGTGCTCTGAGGCTCCAGACTCTATAATCCAAGGAGGTCCCTCCTTACCTGAAGTAGAAACATAATTTGCAGTGACGTGTGAACTACCTGTGTGAGCAAAGGAAGTAGAGTGGACTCCACCAGTGCCACCTGTACCTTGTTGTCCGCTTGCGGCTGAACTGGAACTGGCTGTATCCCGTTGGTTCAGAAATAGCCCATACCTCTCAAGTTCGGCCCTTACTGCAGTAGCTGCAACAGACTCCAGAGCATCTGTAGTAGGAGGGGTCGGAATGTCACCAGTAACTGCCATGTGTGCATTTCCCTTCTTATTTTTCAATCTAGTCGGCACAAGATGTGGGTGAAGCTTCCAACAAGTATCTCGTGTGTTTAGGCTTCTTACAGTAGTCACAGATCAAATCTCTTTTATCTTCCTTCTTGATTTCACTGCCACCCCGATCTCCACTTTGTTTAGGTTTCACAGCACTTACCATGGCAGACTGATCAGGAATAAGATTTTTCATCATCACATCACTCCTGCACTCCTCCCCTGACACAAAGGCATATGCCTGGGAGAGAGTAACAYTRYCCCTGGAAAGAAGGTGTTGTCGTGCAATATCATACTCAGGATTAAGGCCAACAAGAAATTCAAACACCTTATACTTCTCTAGATGTTTCTTATAGGTAGTTGCATCCTTAGTGGTTTCCCAAGCAAATGTCTCTAAATGGTCAATCTCCTGCCACAGGGTTTTAGGGGCTAAAAAACAGGCTACAACAGATCTATCTCCCTACCTTGTAGAAATAATTTGATTTCTCAACTGATAAGCCCTAGACACATTCTCCCTCTGTGAATAGGTTTCTGCAACCCCATCCCATATTTCCTTAGTTGTATTTGCCCATAAAATTTTTTACTTATATGGGGCAACATGGAATTACACAACCAAGTCATCACCATATAATTCTCCTATACCCACCGGGAGTTGCTAGTTTCGGGTTTCACCTCTTCACCAGTGATATACCCTAATTTCCCACGAGCACCAATGGCCATCTTTACAGATTGTGACCATTCTAAGTAATTTGCACCATCCAACCTAACTGTAGTAATGGTCCCAGCCCCGAAAGGGTCTCCAGCACCTCCTTCTACTAGTCTCATTTCACTCCCGGGCTTATTTTCAACTCCGTGGCCCTCCATGCTTCTCAAAAAATGTAAAGAAAATAACTAAAATTTGCAACAAGATCAAACAAAACACTTTTTGGAACCAACAACACCTTTCTGGTGTCCTAGACTTTCTTTCCACAAAAGATTCCTTTTCTGTGGGACGGGAGAAGAGAGAGAAGAGGCAGCCGCTCTCTCTAGAAGCCTCCAAATCAGGCAGGACTTGAATCGCCCCTTACAAAAAACTCCAAGGACCCTTAAAAATTAGGGCACCACTTCCTAGGTCAAAATTGAAGAGTCCAACAGAAACGGGACTCTTCCCCTTTCTCCAATTTTTCCTGATTTCGATGAGAAACCCTAGACCAGCTACAAGGCACACAGATCCACCAAAAAAATCCAAAAATTGGGCTTACCTGAGAGCTTTAATCAGCCTCTTAAATCACCATGCAACCGGTCGATCTAGGGCTGCATGAGAGAACAACTTCAAGGAACCTTCGGCCCGCTCTGATACCAAGTAGAAATCACTAATTGCAGATTTAGTCGAGTTTCT